TCCTGGGGAGGAGTCGGGGTGGGGTCGGGTGGGGTGGGTGGGGAACATGGGAGGATGAGAGGTCGAGGGAATGGGGGGGATGGATATGTAAATATGAGTAATTAAAAAATGAAAAAAATGAATAAAGTATGTGACAGAGACCATATAGCCTATGATATTGATGATCTGATACTTTACAGAAAACATGTACTGGTCCCTGAGCCATGTGGAAAATACCAACAACAGAACTTACTCACTTTACAGTTTCACTAAGAAACGAATTGTTTTCCTTCCTTTAAAGTACAGCCTTCCACCTGTAGTCTCAGTGCTCACCGTCACCGTAATGAGACACTGCAAAGTCTCCCATGTAAAAGGGTGATGTAGTCAGCCCTAGATGGCTCTGTGATGCCAGCTACTCCTCAGCTGTGAGGCAGCCCCCTCTGTTCTTGTTTGTGCTCCCACTGTCTTCCTAGGCCTTTTCTGGGCTCCAGGTTCCAATTTGTCACATACCTATTTTGTCCTTGATATTTGGGCCAAATGACTGTACCACTCTAATTGTTCTATTCTGTCACACTCCTTCTACCCTCTGGGGGCCTCTCCTGTGATCCTTTTGGGTCACATGCTTTCTAAATCTAATATTTTTGTGAATGGCCTTTTCTAGTTCTTGCGTCATTCTAATTGCCTCACTGGCTTTAAAATCAGCAAGCCAACTATGGCAAAAGGAGGCCTCACTCAAGTGGCTTTCCTGTCCGGGCCAACTGAATCATTTCTGCTAGTGCTTGATTGCCCAGTCTGGACGATGCTTGAAGACACCTTTTCTTGTGTTCACCAGTGTTCATATTGCATGGTATGATTTCCCCATGGGTCCTCACAGCGATCACTTCCCATGTCCGCCATCTGACCAGTTCACACCAGTGGTTCACTGATGACCTCAGCAGCCAGTGCACCTTTGTTACCAGAACCAGGTTGATCTCAACCTTTGGGTTTTTAATTTTCTGTCCTCCAGCCAAGCTTGTTGAATCTCTCCTGTTGCTGCTCAAATACAGTTGTCTTTTGACACCTTCACAAGCATGGCAACTGTGTGTGTGTGTGTGTGTGTGTGTGTGTGTGTGTGTGTGTGTGTGATGTTGGAATGGAACTCTCAGAGCATCACACTTGCTAGGTCAGCACTATACCCCTAACACCTGCTTTTGGCATGTTTTGGTGGGGAAAAGCTGATTTGCATATACAGAGCAAGACGTTAGGAGGCAAGAAAGTCACTAACACCATACACCAGGAGGGTAAAATGGGACAATTTAGAAGTAAACTCTATTACAATAAAACATCTTAAACTACTTAATGAGAATAATGGTAATATAATTAATTGGCCAACTAAAGAATATATGATTCTGTTAACCTTCATTTAAATAGAGGTTAAAGAACAAATCTCAATAAATAAATTTTCCTGGGTGGTTTACCCATTTCCTGCCTCACTTGTCTTGCCTCCAACAGCATCTGTAAACATTACACTTCTATATATAAATGCTGTTTTTCATTACATAGCATAACTCAGCATCCTTCTTTGTAAATATTCCCACTCCTCACTAGAAACCAAACAGAACCTCATTCTGCACCCCACATGCATAGGATGGCGGGTTATAACTGGTAGTGATTGGTTAGCCCAGCTCAGTTGGTAGGTTTATTTAACGGGCAGACTGAGAGACTGTCACTCAATTGTGAGAAATGCCTTTGAAATAACTTGTGCTGGGACAGCTTTCTCCTTCATTCTCTTCTCCATTCAAAGTCCTTGTCTGTCTTCTTTCGGGCTTTTATTCTCCCAAACCCATTTCCAGGATGCATATTATACCAAATATAAGCTGGGACAACCTAACCAGCATGCCCTTGTCTTGAGCAATACCTTTCCAGGAATATTGACCTTAAGGAGCAGGGAGACCTACAAGCTCACCCACTTAACTGCATCATGGTGCCAGCTAATCGATATTACCTCCTAGCTTACTCATTGACCATGTATTATCCAAGAGACTTCCCTGGGCCTTAATTATCATGTTAGGACTTGGGGCTACGTTATTAATGAAAAGGAAAACTGTGGCTGCCCTCATATGGTGTGTGTGTGTGTGTGTGTCTTTAATATTAATTACAAATTGATGTGGCCCAGAAATATTCCTTTCAAATTTGGAAATAAAAGGTCAATATTAATATCTGATACCCCAATAGCTCTTCAACCTAAGGTCCCTGTGCAGGTCTGTCTATCCTTGTCTCTCTCTGGAAGTTTTTGTGGTGAGGCTGCAGTGGAGAAGGTGGCAAACAGTCTTGATAGGGTGATGGTGATGTAAGCCTAGCTTCTTCCTTTTTAACCCCAGAGTTCTTGAACCCTCCCCTCCCCTCTCCAAGTGGATATTCTTACCTTTATTTTAAATACAGATCATGGAGTAAGACACCATTGTTATTACTCAAACCATCCTTGGGAGAGTGAATAAATTAATGCTGGTATTACTGGAGTCTGGTGGTAGAAATATGCCTCAGATTCTAATTTGGAACCACCAGAATTAGTAGTGGCTGCTAGCCCACCCAAGCCAGGGAACTGACAGAAGTGAGAGAAAAATATCCCTTTTCTCTGCACAGGATAGGACTGGATCTCAAAAATAGAAATGTGTTCTCAGAAATGCCTGCCCACCCCCAAGGTTGGTTGACAAACGATAGATCTCCCAAGATAGCTGCCACGATTGGTTTCTACTCTCTGTATTTCTTCTATTCCAGAACACTTTCTGAACTTAGCCTTCCTCAAAGCCCCATGGGCACAAGCAGGGAAGACCCACGACCCTGCAAGGGGATTCCAGTGGCTCCATGCCCACAGACGCCAGCCTGCGGATGCACCATATAGTTCTTCCCACTGTCGTCCCACTCGCTATGAGGAGCACAGCTATTTTTACCTCCCAGGCTGCAGCCCTTTATATTTATTTGAAGGAAGGAAATAAATAAATGTTTTAGAAGGAAAATGCGTGGTCTCAGTTTTCCCTGCGCTGGAGAGGTTGGTATAGAAGTGGGTGCTGAGACTGGGTCCCTTTCCTTGGCAGTTGTTGCCAGATTAGGTCAGGCCTAGGCCTAGAAACCCCGGGACTTTTCTCTTAGGGCTCATCCCTGACTGCAGGCTTCTTTCTCCCCTACCCCCATTTTGGAGGTGCCACCATCTCTTCTGATGCTGCCTGGGATGCTGCATCACTCTGCACCCCCATCTCCCCACACCTCCCCAGGGCTCCCACAGTAGGGCATGCGCAGTGCGGGCC